GAAAATGTCCAGGTGAAAAGGAATGCCTGCGCCAGCATGCTGACTCAGGAGTTTGAAAAGTGTACAGGAACAACGAATGAAAGGATAATGGAATTGGCTGGTTATTACCAAGCTGCACTGACCCTCCTACAAGGGATAATGAGAAACTGAGAGCAGTTAATAAACAGCTGAGAACCAAGTGTGAGAGCCAGAGGGCCTATTTGGTAGCTTGCAAAGAAGTCTTCTTCTCCTGCTGTGCAAGAGCAGGCCCAGCCGAGCGGCAGGCTGATGATCTAACTGTCAGAACCCAGAGCTCTACAGATGTTTGGATGCTCAGCCAAAGTAGTCTCCTATGCTAAAGTCAGGAATCTGGTTGGAAAAACATGGGGCCTGGACCCTGAAAAGTGGGGCAGCGACATCTAGATGGATGGCCCTGTGAAATGTGGCTCTGCAGACTCCTTTGGGACCCCGGAGGGAGCTTGCAGAGGTAGCCTCCCTGTCGAGAACCAGTAGTTTCCACATGGGGAAAATACTGCATATACCAGAGCTTTTTTTTTTTTTTGAAAAAACAACAGCCTCCCAACCCCAAGAAAGTGCCTCCACATCCTCTTGTGGCTGCCGGGTTTAACCAGGGTCAAGTTTCAGTATAACCTGGCTGAGGGTAGGCTGGGCCTGATAAAGGAGAAGAGATTTTACTCTAAAGGAAGTGGAAGAATTAACTACGTCATGGAGAAATTGGATGCCTCATACATTGTTAGTGGGAATGTAAAATGGTGCGGCTGGCAATTCCTCAGAAGGTTAAACAAGGCCAGGAGTGGTGGCTCACACCTATAATTCCAGCACTTTGGAAGGCCAAGTCAGGAGGACCACTTGAGGCCAGGAGTTCAGGACCAGCCTGGGCAACATAGTGAGACCTCATCTTTACAAAAAAATAATAAACTGACCTGGGCGTGGTAGCAGCCTATGATCCCAGTTACTCTGGAGGCTGAGGTAGGAGGATTTCTCAAGCCCAGGAGGTTGAGGCTGCAGTGAGCTGTGATCATGTCACTGCATTCCTGCCTGGCAGCAGGGCAAGATCCGTTTATTTGTTTTTTTTTTTTTAAAAAAAACAACAGCAGCAACAAAAAACCCCAAAAGGTTAGAGTTTCCATATGACCCAGCAATCCCACTTCTAGTATATATGAAGACAAATGAAAACATTTGCAAACAAAAACTTGTAAATGAATATTCATATCAACATTATTCATCACACCCAAAAAGTGGAGCCAACTGTCCTTCACATGCGAAGTAGATAACATTTTGACCTGTGCCTTTCCTACTCCAAGAGCCTCAGGCAGCATCACTGTCTGAGGGCTCTCAGAATGCCTTATGCACAGGCATATATTCCTACACCACATGGCATCTGACCAGGGGACCCACTTCACAGTGAAGGAGGTGCAGGGGTAGGCCATGATCATGGAATCCAATGGTATTATCTCATACAATATGAACCCAAAGCAGCTGGCCTCATAAAGGGTGAAAATGACTTACTGAAGGCACGGCTGAAATGCCAGCTTGGATGCAATTTCCTGCAAAGATGGGGCCATCTATAAGGATGCAGTATATGCACTCAATTAGAGATGTCAGACGTGTCCCCATGTAGGAAGAACATACAGGTTCAGGAACCAAGAGTTGCAGAGTTGGAGGTCCTGATCCCCAATGGGATGCTCTCTTTCTGTGGATACAACAAGGATCTCATTGAACTACAAGCCATGGCTACCATCAGGGCACTTTGCATTCCCCGTGTTCAGGAACCAGAAAGCAAGAGAAGCCTCTAACCTGGAAGGAAAATTGATACTGCTCAGCAGGAAGAGTGTCAGGTGTCTTCTGAAAACTGCAATGGCACTAACTTTCACAGTAAAAGCTTACCAGATCCTCCATAACCTGGCCCAATGTTACCTTTCTGATCTCCTTTCTTTTTTTCTCTCCCGCTTGCTCACTCCACTGTAGCCATGCTGACCTCTTTGATGTTCAGTGAGCAGACAAGGTGCTTTCAGGACTGGGGTCTTTCATCCAGCTTCATGAGATAGAAGAAACAAGAAAGGCTACAAAATGCAGAAGGAGCTCAAACGAGAGATGGAGGGTGGGAGATATTATATATAATTACACTAATTTATACAGAGCCAATGACAGAGTTGGACTTTTTAACTCTTAATTTTTAGAACAAGCATCCTCACTGAGAGGAGGAAAATATTAGTGTGGAAAATATTGATGAGAGAAACCTCTCATCAGTGTTTCTCTCATCAATATTTTCCACATACTCATTGATTAGTGACTAAAAAGTTAGACTGAGACAAAAGAATGATCTTCCTGGAGAACGAACAAAGTTCCATCTTTGATAATGATTAGTAATAGCAAACTTATTTTTGAGATACGCTAAATGTCAGGCACCAAGGTAAGCCTTTTACATACTTTGTCTTATTTAATCCCTATGAAATCTCTAAGAAAAAGGAATTATTATTCCCATTGTGAAATTCCCTTTCCTACACATGAAGAAATAGAGGCTCAGAAAGGTGAAATAATTTGCCTAGGTCATACTTCATGTAGTGGCCAGCTTTAACCACAGCTCTTTCTGAGTCTAAGACCTATATTATTTTCTCCACGATTTGCTTCCCCTTAAGAGAAAGAGCTAATCATTACTTCATTCATGCATTCACTTATCCATAATTTAATAAATGTTCACACTGAGTGTTCATGTGCCAGGCTTGGCCTGATTTTGCTGATACAGTGGCAAATGAATAGGCAGGAGCCTTACCTTCATGGAGGTTATTGCCTAATGGTGTAGCTGGACCGTGAATCAAAGAAGTTCAGGTCTCTGAAGCACAGCTGACACAGCATGTGCTGAGAATGACATTTGAAGGAGGCGAACAAAGATTACCGTTGACCTAGACCTTGACTATATATTATGCACAGTAAATACATACAACCTTGGTTAAGACATTGACTTTTTAGCTTCATCAATTTTGAAATGGGTATAGTAATAACACATTTCTTGCCAAATGGTTGTAATCTCAAATGAGAAAATGTGTGAAAGGCCTTGGCAAACTGTAAAATAGTCAACAAGGAGAAAGGGTCTTTTTTTCCTTTTCCTTTTTGAGACAGGGTCTCATTTTATCACCCAGGCTGGAGTGCAGTGGCACAATTACGGCTCATTGCAGCCTCCGCCTACCAGGCTCAAGTGATCCTCCTGCCTCAGCCTCCAAAGTAGCTGGGACCACAGGTTTGCATCACCATGGCCAGCTAATTTTCTTAATTTTTTGTAGAGACAAGGTCTTGCTATGTTGCCCAGGTTGGTCTCAAGCTCCTGGTCTCTAGTGATTCTCCTGCTTCGGCCTCCTAAATTGCTGGGATTACAGGCATGAGCCACAGTGACTGGCTGGTCTTTTCTTTATGCTAAAAAAATTCAAACATATACTACATTAGAATAGTGCAATAAACACCCAGACACGTATCAACCAGCTATGACCAGTTATCAACTCATGGCCAATCATGCTTCATCTTTAGCCAGACCCTAATTACCCATTTTTTTGGGAAGCAAATCTTTGACTGCCTATATTTTTATCCATGTATATACCTCAATGAGGGGATTATCTTAAAAAACACAGCCACAAATACCATTATTACTCCTAAAAGCATAAAAACAAAATTTACAGCAATTCCTTAATTTTATCAAATATCATAATTTGACTTAGTGGTCAAAAGTCCCTGATGATCTCAAAATTTTTGAAATCAGTAGATGTGAATTAGTATTTAGATAAGGTTCATATATTGCAGTTGGCTGCTATTTTTGTTTGTTTGTTTTCTTGAGACACCGTGTTAGCCAGGATGGTCTCAAGCTCCTGATCTCGTGATCTGCCTGCCTCAGCCTCCCAAAGTGCTGGGATTACAGGCGTGAGCCACCACGCCCGGTCTGCTATGTTATTTTTTAATCTGTAAGTTTTTCCTTAATCTTCTTTTTGTTTTGTTTTTGCATTTTTTTCGCTTACGAAACTGTAGAACAGTGGTTCTTAAACTTAAGTGTGCATTAGAATCATCTGGAGAGCTGGTGAAACCCGGGATTGCTGTGTCCAGTCCCCAGGGATTCTGATTCCGTATTGCATTTTTTTTTTTTTTTGAGACAGAGTCTTGCTCTGTTGCCCAGGCTGTAGTGCAGTGGCCTGATCTGGGCTCACTGCAACCTCCGCCTCCCGGGTTCAAGCGATTCTCCTGCCTTGGCCTCCCAAGTAGCTGGGACTACAGGTGCGCCCCACCATGCCTGGCTAATTTTTTGTATTTTTAGTAGAGATGGGGGTTTCACCATGTTAGCAAGGATGGTCTGATCTCCTGACCTCATGATCCACCTGCCTCGGCCTCCCAAAGTGCTGGGATTGCAGGAGTGAGCCACCATGCCCCACCTCCATATTGCATTTCTAACACTTTCCCAGGTGATGCCAATACTGCACTCAGGAAGGACACTTTGAGAACCATTGTTTTGCATATCCCACAGTCTGGATTTCCTTATCCCTTGGTAAAGTATCCTTACACATGTTCATCTTCCTCTCTATTTCTTGTTAGGAGGAACTTATTTAATTGTCTGCAGTACAAGATAATGGTTAAAACTCAGGGTTTAAAGTTAGATTCCCTGCATTTAAATCTTGCTTTTGATATTTATGTCATGATGTTGGGCAAGTCACTTCACTGTTCTGTGAACACAATATTACAGGGTCTTTGTGAGGATGAAATGAGATTTTAAAAAGTGAAGTGCTTAGCATAGTACTCTGGCACTTAGCAAATGCCCAACAAATTTGATTGTCATTTTTCAACCAAGAAATCATAAAGGGGTGCACGGTCTGTGGAAGGCCTTGAGTTTTGTGTTTTGCTGCGTTTTGACGTCAGCACAGGCAAGCAGGAGCACCAAAAAAGAACCTAATTAAAAGTGAAGAACAACTCTCCTGGCCACTTCGTGTCATCTCAAAATTCTGCCCCTTTAAGGAGGGCTCAGCCACGTGACCCACCGGGTCACATGGCTCGCGGAACAACATGGCTGCGCCCGCACTAGGGCTGGTTTGTGGACGCTACCCTGAGTCGGGTCGCGTCCTCTTGCTGCTGCTGCTCTCGCTGCTGTGTGGAGCGGCAGGGAGCGAGGAGGCCGGGACCAGTGCGGTCGCGGGGTCCCTTGCGGGTTCTTGCGGCTGCGGCACGCCCCAGCGGCCTGGCGTCCATGGCAGTTCGGGAGCCGCTCACCGATACTCGCGGGAGGCTAACGCTCCGGGCTCCGTACCCGGAGAGCGGCCGCTCGCGCACTCAAAGGTGCTCCATCGATTCCTCCAAGGCGGGTGGGGGCTGCTGGGTTACTGGACCGGGTTGGAGTAGGCAAAGCAAGGGACTAGTAGGAAGGGAAGTAAAGGTTATAACCACACCCCAAATCGAGCACCTGCTGATCCCATATGAGGAGTTCTTCCTCTGTGCCTCACCGGAAGACTCCGTTTAATTGACCATTAGGGAGTTTGATTTGAGGATTATTGTTACTTCTTTACCCCCTATTTCTTCCTCCCTCCAACCTATTCTCTTGATGAGGGTCTCAGAATTTTAAGTCAATCAAATTATGGTTTAAATCACCATTTCCTCTCTTATTAACGGAATAAATTAGGATCCTGGGTCTCAGTATCTTCAACAGGGTTATATGCTTATCTGTAGTCTCCTCGAGTACACTCTGCTTGAGGACAAGGGCTTGTATTGTTTAGCCTGCTATTCTTAGCACTTTAGCACATAGGAAGGACTAAACAAACTGTAGTTGTTTTATTACTATTATTTATCTGTGTCTTGCTTAGCGCCTCTATGTGTTAGGTGCCAGGATATATAAATAACTTACTGACCGGGCGCGGTGGCTCACATGCCTGTAATCCCAGCACTTTGGGAGGCCGAGGCGGGCGGATCACGAGGTCAGGGGTTCGAGACCAGCCTGGCCAGCATGATGAAACCCCGTCTCTACTAAAAATACAAAAATTAGCTGGACGTGGTGGCGGGCGCCTGTCATCCCAGCTACTCGGGAGGCTGAGGCAGGATAATTGCTTGAACCTGGGAGGCAGAGGTTGCAGTGAGCCGAGATCGTGCCACTGCACTCCAGCCTGGGCGACAGAGCAAGACTCCGTCTCGGGAAAAAAAAAAGAAAAAACAAAAAACTATTACTTCATTCTGTCTGCCCGGTATTTTGCATGTTGGTGTGTTGTCGAAACAATTTATGGAACTAGAAGTCAGGTGTTCTGACTCTTAAACTAGTGCTCCTTCTTGTTTACTTAGCGGACCCTATCCTTTTCCCATTCCATTTTTCTTTTCTTTGGGTTAATCCTGACTAATATTAGAGCTTAGGTGAGAGGTAACATCCACAGCAGGTTTTACCTGACCGCCTCTCTTTCTCTCTCCTTCAGTATTTCCATATCCTGCCTCAGTAGTATGTGTTTACTCTGACATAACAATTATTAAAGATGTTTTTCTGCTGATGTCTCTCCCCAATTGGACTGTGAGGGTGATAGGGTCAGGACCATGATTTAGTCTCTCAGGTGTAGAGTGTAGGAGGTTGATACATGGGCTTCTCATTGTTTTTCCATCCTGTATAATTTTTGGTCTTTAATTTTTTTTCTGTTACCCCTTAGAGTATGCCCTGCAGCATTGTGTATCTTCTGTGTGTTGAAGACTCCCGATTACTGTTTTAGTGTCTATTGGCCATACTTGATTTTAATTCCTCTCTAACTTGCCGATAATTGATAATCAATCTCTCCCTCTTTCTTTCTTTCTTTTTTTTTTTCAGAAGGAGTCTTGCTGTGTTGCCAGGCTGGAGTGCAGTGGCGCCATCTCCGCTCACTGCAGTCTCCACCTCCTGGGTTCAAACGATTCTGCTTCCTGCCTCAGCCTCCCAAGTAGCTGGGATTACAGGCACAAGCAACCATGCCCAGCTAATTTTTGTATTTTTAATAGAGATGGGGTTTCACCATGTTGGCCCGGATAGTCTCAATCTCCTGACCTCGTGATCCGCCCGCCTCGGCCTCCCAAAGTGCTGGGATTACAGACGTGTGCCACCGCCCCCGGCCAATCTCTCCCTCTTTCTAAGGAGAAATCCTTACATCTGTTTATCTATTTTTTAATAGGGAGCCATCTCATTTGCATATATGCATTGGTCTGTCTCATAATTTTGTCTAGATTCCTCTGGCAAGCCCTGAACATTTCTCATTTTTAAACATTCTGTTTTCCTATGGGTTCCAGAATGGATGTGGATGCTAGAATCTTTTGGATTATGTTTACAAGATGTACATTTTTCATCCCTATAGAGTGGTTTTGTGTCTTCATTGATGCTATATGGGTCATCTTTGGCCAGTTCTTATAGTCTGCTTTCTACACTGTTTAGGGGCATCTCAATTTATTAACAAATTAGTGGTTGATGAGAATATACCTTCAAACCTTCAAGGGCACAACCTAATGACTGAACCTGAAGTAGTCTTGTTGCAAATGTCTTAGTTCAGGAACTCCAATATTTCAGGAGAAGTAAATGATCATAGTGGTGGTTCTGCTTTTTTTTTTTTTTTTTTCCTTTGTTTTCTGTTTATTTGGTTTAATTCAACAAATGTTTATTTGGTACATTACTGTATAACACTTGTTATATAAGATTCATCCTATGTGCTGGGCATACAGAAAAAGACCCATACACTACCCACATGGCATTTACACTCTGGTAGGTGTTTCTCTCTCTCTCTCTCTCTCTCTCTCACACACACACACACACACACACACACACGTAAGCATCATTTTTCTGTAGTGAGAATACTATAGGAGGAATATGTCCAGAGTACCTGGAGAGGAAGAAAGAATTCATTCTTCATGGACAAGTCAAGTAGTGCCTCAAAGAAAAGGTCACATTTGAGCTAGGCCTTGTAGGAAATATTTTTAGGAGCTGGGAATGGAATTTCGGATTCAAGGACATTCCAAGAAGGAGAATAGTATCAACACATGGCACACTGTGGAAATGCATGGTGTGTGCTGGGAAACATAAGTGATTTAAGATCTGGGAGTGACCTGTTCGCACTTTTTAATGTAACACTTTTTCGGTAAGTCTTTTTTTGTTTTTCTATATTCATACAATGAATGTGTGGCAAGGTGAGGGACACAGAGAAATAACACTGGGCTTTGCCCTCAAGAAATTTTCAGTTTCACTGAAAAGTTATGGCAATTAGAATTGTCTCGGAAACAATATAGACATTTAAAAATTTGATGTGTATTCCCTCTGGTTATAAAAATACAATTCTCATTGAGAAAATTATCTTAACAGTTTTCTGCACGGCTTATGATTGTGTAACAAGGAAGCAAAATGTTTTAGTCTGCTTTTATCTTTTAGAAGAGTTATTTGAAAGGCATTTAGGATCATCGGATGCTAAGATTGTAAGTGGCATGTCTGTACTTGTGGATAAAGTCAGTCTTGATTTCCTGTCTGAGGAGGTTTCTGTCTGGTAATGCTTCCCTGGGCATCCAGGCACAATCGAATGTCGTCTCTTCCATGAAACCTTTCCACCTCCTACAAAGAAGTAGTTTTTCTATCCTCTCAGTTCCCATAGCTTATTTTGTTGTTGTTTGATGACAGCTTGTATATTTTCTTTAATATAGTGCTAGTGTTTTTTTTGTTTGTTTTTGTTTATCTTTTGTTTTGTTTTTGAGACGGAGTCTTGCTCTGTCGCCCAAGCTGGAGTGCAGTGGCACAATCTCGGCTCACCGCAACCTCTGCCTCCTGGGTTCAAGTGATTCTCCTGCCTCAGCCTCCCAAGTAGCTGGGACTACAGGCATCCACCACCACGCCTGGCAAATTTTTGTATTTTTAGTTGAGATGGGGTTTTACCATGTTGGCCAGGATGGTCTCGATCGCTTGCCCGGCCCTAATGTAGTGCTAGTTTTGTAGTTGTCTGATATTCTACATTGGAAGCATTTTTAGATGTTTTAATCTCTATGTCTTCCACGTGCCTTGTACATTTTAGGCATTCTGTAATAATTTCTTGAATGACCTGTTTCCTTTTATGGTGGATATAATATTGAGAAACTGCCTTGGGAATAAAGAAGGTCACATACTTTTTCAAGAAACATTTGTAAAGTATTCTTTTGCTCTATTCATCCTCCTGAGAATCCTGTGAGAGAGATAGTCTCCCACTTTACAGTGAGGCAACGGCAGCTTAATGGAATCATATAGCTCAGAACTGCAAGAAACTTTGAATGTCATTTCATCTATGATTAGTGTCTGTTTGTAGAGGCAGGAGGGTGACAGAATGGTAAAGATAGATAAGCCCTGTGTAGATAGATAAGGCAGGGGTTTGTGGACAGATCCAGAGAGCATGCTTCTCTTATTCACCCAGCTTTCTCATGAGCCTTTAGCTTATTTTATTTTATTTTATTTTATTTTATTTTATTTTATTTTATTTTATTAGAAGGGACTCAGAACAAGAGCCTTTAGCTTTTAATGTTAGGGCTGAGGAGAGGAAAGAAGGAAAAGGAGAAGTTACACAAAAAAGTTATGTATGATCTTATTTCATCTTTGTGTACAAGACAAAAATCACTAGCAAGTGAAAAAAAGACAAGTCTGGCTTAAGCAGGAAAAAACTGGAGGGGACATTTATAGCTCTCCTGGTTGGAAGTTCAAGAGTAAATATGGCCCCAGACACACCTGGATACAGGGCCTCAGGCAGCATCTCCAAGGCCTTTCTCTTTGGCTATCTCTTGGCTCTTCTGCTCCATTGTCAGGTAATGTCCTTTCTCCTACTGATAAGATAATGAGAAGAGGAAAAAGTTCTTTCCTGGTAGCTCCAGCAAAAGTTCAAAGATGAACTTTGATTGGGTCTTGGGCCTATCCCTAATTACATCTCTGTGATCAAAAGAATGCTATGGTTGGCCAGGCTTAGTGGGTCGTGGGAAGTAGGATAGAGTTATCCAGTACCCCTGGGCCACTTAGAAAGCTTAAGAAATGGTTTTGGAAAGGAACTTCAATATTTTACAACAAGTAGAGGGAGTGGGTGCTGGATGGACCAAAATAGCAGTGCCCACTGCAGGTGGCCTAAATGTGTAGCCCACATATGGTTCTGTTATTCCAATGAATAATAGAGTCATTCTTGACTTCACTTACACTTCTGGCTTGAGTGGCAGTGGCAGAAGCTGTGGTGTGGCGGGAGGGGTTTATCTCACCTTCAGATTAGAGGAGATGTGGATTCTTTGAATTTGGACCTTCAATGAAGAGTTGACTAAAATGGTCCTTTTTACGTGTCTTAGGATCCTACAGAGTG